GCTTGACTCGTCGGAAAGTTACATCCTGTGTTATGAGGATCAGTCCTCCGTGGTCTGTTCATTGTACGTGACAATGTTTATATTTCCGAAACCACCGTATATTTTTCTTTTGGTAGTTTTTTTGTTATTTTAAATTTCAAAAGTATGCTTAAGGTTCACATACGAAGAAAGAAAAAAAATAATTTGTTAAAAAATTACTACTTACCCAATAATCATAAAACATAAAACATAATCATTAAACGTGGAAAAAATGGTTAACTGTAATTACAATTTTAAATGGAAAAATAAGAAGTACATAAAACTAAATATTATATAGTATATAAAAAGGTATCTTGCATAGGTAAAGCTACGCTTTAAAAAAACAAAAGCATTAAGTTATTTTACTAACTGATGACTGAGCAGCATTGACTAGTAGTGTTGTCTCCCTCTGCCGGGATACGGAAGCCTTTATACGCAGCCATGTTCTCTAAATCACCAACAGTTGCATATAGTATTTATTAAGCTCTGGCTGTTCATAAACAGATCTTGAATTAACAGTAAAGGCATGGTATACAGAAGTATTAATCTTTTTTTCTGCCGTAATATTCAAATAAGAACTAGTGTTTTATGTTTTGGCTATTACCCTCTAAGGAGCTGAGTTAAAACCTCTTTTCATTGCAGCTATAATGACATGGATTCTAACCTTATTTACGTTGTTTTTGTGTTATTTGCTTAAATTGGTTGTATTCTGAACATTAAGCCCAGGAGGACATCTAGTGGTCGAGATTAGTATTAACCGTGAGCCATGAAAAAATAATGCCGTTCCTGTGTTGTATAGAATAGAATAGAATAGAATAGAATAGAATAGAATAGAATAGAATAGAATAGAACAGTGGTATTTTATTTATCCCTGTGGGGAAATTATATTTTTATGCTTAAATACTTGCTCTCCATCCCTGGAGCAATTGGGAACTGTGACATCATTCTTTCAGCCCTGGGATCTGGACCGGTGACCTTCCCATCATGAGCCCTAACCTGCTGAACAACACAACACCCACAAAAACGGCAGTGTTGGGAACTGAACCCATGCCATTAAAATGCCTGTGACCTAAACCTTAGATCACTCAGCCACACTAACAAATCCACCAAGCCTCTTAACACAAATCATTAAGTTTATCTCACCTATTGCCAAGAAAACTCTTTATAATTGCAATTTATCTTAATGCCAGAGAAAACAAATTTGTAAATGATAAAAGTGCCACCACGTGAATTTTAAACTTATGAAGAAATATGACAGTATACTAGTATTATTTTGCTGAAATAACTTAGCTTCACTTTGAACTGCTTCTGGAAAAAGTCATTTATTCACATGAGATAAACCACAACTGTGTTACCACTGCTGGGAAATTCCTTCATACGGAAGTGGTGACCCATACGGGTCTCCATCTCTACCAGTTTTTTCTTCTGAAAGAATCTGCCTTTGGACCTTAACTCACACATAGGACCGCCCTCTTTTAAACTCCCATGACCCGACTGACCACAAACTCGTACAAAGAAATCTCTTTGTGGAGTGGAAACAAAAAATCATTAAGGATAAAGAAAAATATACATAAAAATCAGGACCAAATAATGTAAACTAAATATAAGAAGTTTTATTTTTCTTTCATATAGATAATTCACAAACTTTATTCCAGAGATGCATTTCTATCTACTTTTCCTAGGTTGGATGCATTTAGGGTTTCTGGGAAATTAGCTGCTAAACTGAATTTTCAGTTACAAGTTCATATACATAAAAAATCCAAGGCCAGTCTAATTTGTATAATCAAAATACATTTTAAACATTCCTTTCCTCTCATAACTGACACCACTATTCATTAATAATAATAATAACATGGTTTAACACGTGATGCACATGAGAAAATGAAAACAGGATATCCAGGAAGAAACACTTCAATGATCTGTAATTCAGACACTTATCTGTCCCTTTTCCATAATCACGTGTCGGATGCAGGGTCACGTGACCTTGCAGCACAGGAATCTAAGCAGGGTGTATCCTGGATGGGGAAGTTGTCATGCATGTGCTCACACACGGGTTTAGTCTTTGGGGAACTGGGAGCTGGATTGTCTAACGAGGCTTGCAGTTCACCGGCTAGTCTGTGTCCCATAGTCATGAGATGTGGGCACAGACTGAGAAAACAAGGCTGCATGTACAGTTAGCTGATATAAGAGTTTGCTATAAGGTCGCTGGGCTCACTCTCCAAGGTAGGGGTAGAATAAAACTGCTAAGTGAGATAAGCTGGGTTGGGCATCTCACGAGGATGCCATCTGGTTGGCTCCCAAGGGACCTTCTCTGAACACGTCCCATGGACGAGCTCGGGACATTATACAGCCCTGGTTGGCTTTGGAACATCTGAGAATCCCACAGAAATATTCTGGAGTCGGAGACCTTGGAATGGGCGGCCTGGTCTGACATATTTGGTACCACCACTATAAACCTCCTATCTGAAGATGGATGGATGTCTTCCGATTGTGGGGAGACACTGCTTGAAGCTCATGTGTGCATGAGGAGAATGTGCACTCTCCACATGTCGGTGAGCCAGGGTGAGAATGAACATGTCATTCCTGGGGGTGTGAAGCCACAGTGCAACCATAGAATCACACATCGGAAACACCATAATGCTAAGATGATGAAAGTGTACTGTGGGTTTGATTAAAAAAAAATATTCATAAAGAGGTAAGGAGAACAGAACAACAACTGCGCACTGCCAATAAGTAATTTCAACCACTTTTAGACAAGAATTTACAGCCTGTGCTGTTTTCCTTTAATGCAGACCAACTTCACAACTCCCACAATAAGCATCAAAATGTTTTTGAAAACCATGGTTAATGAAAAATAAAAATGAAGTATTTTGGTTGGAGTAGCGTTCATCAAATGTATTTGCGCAAAGACATTTAACCCTTGTGGGTTAGCCTGTGATAGTGCGATGATGGAGTATGTGAGCTATGTCAAGTTTGATGGGAGTCACAGGAGTCTTGCTGCAGACTGTCACTCTGGTTAGGGCCCAGGTTTAACAAATTCACTTCTCTGCTATTAAGCCATTTGAGTGACTGACTCTGTGCTTCACGTTGTCATTCTGCTGAAAGGTGAATCTCTGTCCCTATCTGGGGTCTTTTGCAGACTGAAGCAAGTTTTCTGTAAGAATCTGTCAGTGTTCTGCTATTATACTTCGTATCCTGACAGGTTTCCTTGTTCCTGCCAATGAAAAACGTCCCCATAAGAGATGCTGACCCATCGGCATTCAGGGACACTACGCCTTTGGAGTAATACACTGTATTTGGCATTTGTACCTGACAGTTTGACTGACATTGCTTGGGTGGGGGGTGTTTGTGCCCCTCCCCTAATCTGTGTCCTTCCACAACATCATCCAGGAGTTGTTTTGCAAGCTTCTTGGCCATTATGGTTACATCATTGCTTGGAATTCTTTGAACCTAAATGTGGGATTTTACAGGGCGTTCTCAATGCAGGAGCATGTGGTCCCATTTTAAGGCAGACAGATGGTCACCATTTCATTTACAGTGTGACTTCCAAAAAGTACCGGAACATGAATTTAGCACGGTCAGGAAAACGGAGGGAGTGATAAGGTACATAATTATGACCGTCGTTTTTCATTAACCATTTTGCCTCTTCAAAGGGTTGCGTGGATTGTAAAGTTTAGAGGAAATTTCAGGCTGTAACACATCACAACATAAACAAATGAGGCAGAAAAGACCTATAATTCCCAAGAGAAATGAGATGCCAGGACAAAACACAGATCCAAATTAGCCAAACAAGCTAAATAAAGACTGTGCAGTAAATTAGCGCACAGGCCAGATGGTTGAGGGAGTTTCGCCTTTTTCCCCTTCAAACAAAGCTGGAAATCTTTTTTACAAGCCTCTGGTGTCAGTGGAAAACATGTTTTGTAGGACGGGACTCACATAATATCTACACTGTTCTTATCTGTTGCCAATTATTTTGCTAGCATCGAGCCAAAGGTTATTGACCTCCCTCACGACACCGAGACCATCCTTCTCAAAACGACATCACACTTTTTCACAAGATGTTTAAGGGTGTATTTCACGAGGCTTCAGACAGTGGTTTATAACCGCCATCACAACGATCCGAGGGGCAGCAATACCAGCAGGTCAATAAACGCCCCAACGAGAAATACCGGACGAATGCGCTGAGCTGCGTTCGCTAAAAGTGTCAGGGAAATGAATCAAACGTAAAAAGAGATTAGACCCTGTTTTCTCAAGACAGCAAATGGTAACAGACAATAGCAATAACGAAATACATCAAGCGGACATACGAACCGGAAAGGCATTTGTCAACTCTAGAGAAAGCTATGAAATTTAACTTCCAGACACTATATTCCCCTGTAGTCTGGACGAGAGACCTAGATGCGGCTTCTCCTTATGAGAATATGTCCCCTCCGTCCCTCTGGTGTGTTCAGTGACGGAGCAACAGGATGATTTTTAGAGAAGAATCCCAAACATGCAGAGTAGTTCATACATGGCTGCTGCTGCTGGACTCTACGTCATTCACTCAACACCCCTGCCAGCTCTTGCTTCCTTCAACTTGTTGTCCCTTTAAAACCTCCTTATTTGTTCATTCTCCCTAATATGCAGTGACTTCCCATGCCTCTGTGATGCTGATCGTGGTTTTAATGGACAGTACATATGTCCCCCCCCACCATCCCACCCCTAATGAATTGTGGTTCTCTCCTTCTCATACATGAGGCCGGTCGTTACGGTACTCCTCGTTTAACTCATCAGCTTGAGAGCACCTGGCACCGTGTGCCTATATAAAGCAAGGCCTCCCTCCCTTACTCCCTCCCTCCTCCTCTGCCCTCCTTCTTCTCCCCTGCACTTTCTCTTGCCCCATTTCCTTCCACCCCGGCTCTGTTTTTATTTTCCATTCTGCCCGCTCCATGCTCCTCCCCCCCCCCCCCCCCCCCCCCCCCCCAGCTCCCGCCGCTCCCCGTTTATCCCGAGGCCCCGGCTGCTCGGCAGCGCTCGTGCAAGTCAGAGGGACATGCCTCAGCGTGGCTGACCCAGGACAGGCAGCAGCGGATCGAGGGGAGAGGCTCCAGCAGCATCCTTCACAGCGTAAATCAGACCCGAGCAGTGGCACTCTGACACAGGTAGGCCTCCAACCAGAGCTCCGTATCGGCTGCTTCTGCCTGATTTTAGACTGTCAGCAGAAAAAAAAGTATGCATTCTGCTCCAGAATGAGACTCAGCTGTTTATATTACACATTGAAATACAGCAGAATGACTGCCCTCCCCTTCCCCGGTACCGTCTGACTCATATCCTACCTTTAGCAGAAACCACCAGGAGACATCTAATGCGAATAGCTTTGATGAACTGCAAGCCTTTGTGAGTCTTACTGCTCTTTTACCAAAGAATTTGCCGCACATCCTGGTGGCAGGGCAGTCTGTTTTCAGCTCTCCGACCTCGCTTTGCTTTATGTAGCCAAACAGTAGAGCGCCGCTGCTGCAGCCAGATGTTTGTCTCCAGCTGTCAGCGGCTGGATTACTTTAAGGCCAAATTAATTATTCTGTATTCGCTTAATGAAAAATGCAAATCACAGCCGCTGATTCATTTGTTGCAGGACAGAGGTTAATTGACTTTTTTTCCCTTCCCCAAACTCAGCACACTGTTTATTAGCTCAGGGTTATTCCACTGTACTAAGTTGTATTCCATACCGTCGACACTATTGTTTTGATATCTGATCCTGGAGCACAGTTCACCCTGCAAATGACCCCAATTTCAAACTCAAAACAAAAGGCACACAGCACACAATCGGCATGTATGTGGTGATGAGCCATGCACAGAGCATTACGCCGGCTTTCCACATCCCGTGTTTATGGTATTATTATCATCATTATCAGAGGATGGGGATTATGAGAAGGCATATACCCTGCAATAGCTCCTTCTGGGCAGCCTGTTTACAAGTTTAGCTCTAACAGTGAGCGATGCATCATTTTAGTTGGGCAACACATCAAAAGATGACATTTCTGACAAGTGTCTTGTTTTCTTGTATTCAGAAAGTCCCCCTTTCATTTCGGATGTGCTCTGCGCAAATCTAGAGCAGAGGGGAAAATTCTAGGGCAAAAATTCCTTAGACATGCCATCACAGCTCCCCACTGAAATTACTTCATTTCCGCAATTCGGTTTAATGCTCCCAGAAAGAAGGGGACAGGGGGAGAAGCGGCGTCCCGTGTGGCTCCTTAAAAGAGCTTTGCGATTGCACCCTGCAGCTTATGCCGCGCACGTAGCCTTTGATGTGGCCTGCACCCGCAGCCCCGAGCACCGAACCGCTCCGTCTGCACGATCCGCCCGCAGCGGCTCCCGTTTCCACAGGATGTCACGCCAGCGATGAGCCCCAAGTGCACGGCTGATGAATGACCGAACGGCTCTAATCCTCGGTGCCTGGGGATTCCCCTAGAACAAGCACCCCACCGAGACGATCCCCCTGAAACAGCATACAATGCAATAAATAAACCTAAATGGTATCAGTGGTATCATTAACCCAGGATTTAAACTTGCGATACAGGAGTACAGAATTAGGTGTAATAAGATAATGGATAAAATAAGAATTCATTTATTAAGGCTCACGTTTTATTTATTATGGCCGTAAACATCGGTGGCATTTACACACGTGAGCTGGTGTCTCTGGGAACGTTTTTTGTTTGTGTGAGAGAGACCTTGACAGTGCTGGCTGGCAAAGCAAAGACCATAAAGAGGGATCACACTAAGCGGCGGTCTCAACATCATATTGTGCTGCGATTGCCATTGTTTCGTCAGTAAAAGGCAGAACAAAATGAAACAACAGTGCAAACAAAAGAGTGAACCCAGAGCTAGCGGGAGAAGTGAATTCAACAGAAAGCCGTTAGAGATTTACGACTTAGCTGCACCTGGCTGGGCTATAGGGAGACTTAACTAAGGATTTTCCTGCAGCACGCTGGAAATACTTCTGACTTTTATATACACAGATCCCCAGCAGAAGATCCACTGCCTTTAATAAGGCCATCAATGCTCCCGACGACTTTAACTCCGAGGACTTAAAACCGTCCACACACCTGCCTGTATATGTACACAGATGAATCTCCTGACAAGTCAAAACAGGCTTTCCATACAGAAACTGGGCACATAAACAAATTCTTAAATGATGATATGGTTTCACTGCACTGTAGTACTACCATTCTTTTACTGTATAAAAAAAGATTTGAAAACAGTGATTTTGGGCATTGACGTGTGAACATAACATAAGCAGATGTTAAGATTTAACGTGATGTCTTAAACATCGCTCCGATCGACGTTTTATGATTATAATATTGTAAGCTGAGACCCCTGGTGGCCAGTGGAGCAATAACACGCAGATCTCACATAGGTCATTACTAAGATCAGAGACATTCATGGAGTCGTGCCAACTTACATTAAAAGCCGTTTTGGGGCCACAAATGCTCTGTAAACAACCCT